AGGGAGCAGAGAGCTGCAGCCACTGCAGGACAAGAGGAGGAGAGGTGGTGGATGGTGTGGGTGGATGCAGCCCTCCAAACTCCAGCCTCATCTCAGTGGCCTTTCTCCTAGATATTTTCCTTGCCCACAGGATTCCCACAGGATTCTCACTGCACCCTTTGCCTTCCCTCTCTCTGGCCTGGTTCTGCCCCTCTGGGAGGCACCCAGGAGGGAAAATCTTGTGGCTTTGAAACTGCCCTCACTTGGGCAAGCTCAGCTGGGATCACTCCTGGCTGTTCACCATCCACAGCCCCCAGGACAACAGGAGGGACCACAGGGCCCAGCACCCCAGGTTGTCCCCACAAAGCAACACTAAGACTTGGGGAGGATTTCTGTTTATTTGGCAGAAAGCAGGGGCTGTGTCAGAGTCCTGACAACAGAGCTAGAAGAAGGATGGTGGAGCAGGAGTCTGGAGCTTCAGAGCATGGGTTTTGCATTGCTTGGCAGGAGCATCCACAAGCCAGTCTGCACTTTCTGGAAAACAAGTGGGAGAGGTGGCATTGAGGTGAGGGCAAGGAGACCAGTGGGACTCTCCATTATGATCAGTGCATTCTTCTCCAGTTCTCCCCAGATTTGTAGGGTGAGGCATCTCCAGCAACGGAGTTCTAGTAACCCCTACAGCTGTGTGGTGGGAAAGCACAGGCTAGGGGGGAAACAGCAAATATGGTTTGCATGGTGAGACACCAGCCCATTCTGGCCAGGTTTGCCAGTCCACAAGCCCAGGGTCCCTTTGGCAGTAGCCAGTGTCCTGGCCTTCAGTGCTCAAAGGGCTGGGCAGACATTTCTCTGGTGGTTTCAGCTCACATGCCCATGTTCAGTGCCAGGCACTTCCCACTGGGGGTCTCTGGGCACTGCTTCTTGGGAGTCCCTGGGTACTGCTACTTGGGGTCCTGCTGTAGAGCAATATCCAAAGGAATGGTCCTACCTGTGTGCAAGCTCCAGCACCAGTTCAAACAGCTCAACCCCAGAGGAATTCAAAGAGTTCTTGGTGGCCCTTGCCTTGGGGACACCAAGAAGGTCAATTTCCAGGAGAGAACATTGCAAACACCGTTTTGCACTACAGCAACTCACCTACGGTTCACCAAGTCTGCAATCCTCTGTGGAAACAAAGAAAAAGCCTAAGTCTGACACTGTGGTCTGAATAGTCCCATTTAGCACCCAAAACAGACTACTCAGAAGGAATTTGTGGTTTTTTTCTTGCTCAGTATGCCCAGCCAGAGCACCGCTGGCTGCCAGCACTCCCTCCTGCCAGCTCAGGCCATGAAGTGGTGGTACTGAGGGCTGAGCTGGTCCCTGCATGTCCCTGCATTGGCCCTGGGCAGTGCTCACCCTGCCTGGGCAAAATCCAGATTGTCTTGTCGGTGAAGCCATTCAGCTTGGCAAGTCTCTTGAACAGCAACTTGATTTTGGGTCTCACCCACTGGGTTCTGCCTAAAGACAAAGACATGAGTTAGCTCCAGGCTGTGCCTGACCCTGCATCTCCTGGGAAGCTGGTGAGTGTGTCCAGCTGAGGGTGGGATGGATGGCAGCCCCTGGGAGAAGGCTGGAGGCACTGTGGTGGCCAGGCACATGAGGCACCCCACCCAGGATACAAGATGAGCCAGAGGTCCTGACACCAGCACAGTGTTCCTCTTGGAACACTCTCTTGGCTCCTGTCCCCACCGATTCTGTTCCACCTGTGCAGCAGGACCCTCGCTCTCCACCAAGCAACTTACCCAATGCCATGGACTTGAAGCACAGTGCTGGGAGCCTGAGCCCCAGCCTCTCCTGCCACCCCAAACACTGCTCCTTCCCTGCCACACAGGGAACACATGGTAGTCCCTGCTCCGCTCCTGCGCCTCACCCAGGGCAGGAGTGGAGAAAGAATGTCCCCTGGCTCCTGGCCTTGCAGGACCCTCAGAGCAGCTCACCACTGCTGGCTACGCACTGTAAAGTCTCAGCATGTGCAAGGTCTTCCTGTCTTTCTCTCTGGTGGCAAAGACAACCATGTAGGAACTGCCGTCGGTGTCCACCAGCCGCACCGTCTTATTGCCTCTGTCTGCAAAAGGATGTGGAGAAAAATTAATTACCTTCTCCTGGAAACCCCCATGCTGCAAAGGGGCTGTAAAGAGCATGAAGCCCACCAAGCCTGTCTTTCCTCGTTATCTCCCCATCCTGGTTTTCCCTCTTGCTAAGGCTCCTCTGAAAGCCTGGGGAGCCCACAGACCTCAGCAGGGCAGAGGGATGGGGAGGCAAGGACAGAAGAGGCTGTGGATGGTCAGTGCAGGCTGTTGGCCAGTGTCAGACTGCTCCTTGGGCTGGGAATGGTGGAAAACCACTCCTATTCCATCCCTTGGGAACATCCACTCACAGTCTCTTTGCAGAAGGAACCTGCTTTTCCCCAGGGTTTAAGCTTGGTCTCATTGTGTTTATCTCAGAGGGAGGGATTGGGGGGAGTCTGCCATGCTGCTGGGCCACCAGCCCTGGGATGTAGCTGGCACCTGGACGCAGAGGGATGTCCCACCCAGGGTACAGGAGGGGCAGGCAGTCCTGAGGGCCATGTCCCCAGGAACAGCCAGCTGCTTCGGACAGGGATGGTGGGACATGCCTCTACCCTGCCCCAAGAGCCAGGCACCCCCACTCACCAGTGCTGTAGTATTCACCCGGGCTGTCTGTTGGCTTGTAGATTGATTCAAACTTCATGCATCTTCCAGGGCTGCAGAACAGTGAAGGATGCTCCAGCTGAGGTGAAGTGACTCCCTCTCCCCTCCCCTCTTCAAGGGTCACTACCCCAGGTGTGAGACTTGCTGTTCAGAGATGGGATGGTGTGGCCAGGAGGGGACAGATACCACCCTTGGAACAATGGGTACCTGGGCTGGCAGGAGACAGTGCTGGCACATGGGGATTATCAATGCCCTCACTCATGCTCTGAGCTTCTGGGATGAGGCTGGTTCTGCTGGGAAAGTTGTAATTGTAGGGTCCCGTCCCACCCTCTGTGGTGGCACTGGTCCTGGCCAGTGTTGCCCTGAGCCTGCCCTAAAGACGGGGTGCCCACAGCTGTCCCAAGCCCCTGGTGTTCCTGTCTCAACCCCTGCCCAGGTCTTTGGTGAGTGCACTGAGGTGGAGACCCACCAGTGAAGGTCCAAGGAGGAGTTTGGTAGTGAAGCCTGTGGAGAACAGCATGTGGGACTTACGTGGGAATTGCAAAGGAGACCTTCAGGTCACCATCCTGCAGGACCTCAATGTTGGCCATCGCCATCTTCAGGTGGTCCTTATTTTGGAGATAGCTCTCGGAGTCAGAGGCCATAGCAGTGATGTACCACGTCCCTGCAATCTGGCAGTGAGAGCAAGCTGTGAGTCCAGAGGAGCAGTCTAGAGTGTCCCCTCCTCAGGGACCAAGCCAGGACAACGTCAGTCCATGGAACACCCACATCCTGTCCAGGCAACAGAATTCCCTTAGGGACACCTATGCAGGAGCTGGGTGACTGTCCTCACCTGGGCGTGTCAGCAAAGCAATGGTGGCTGTAGTCACCCCAGCTGTCCCCAAAACACCTCTACAGTCCTCCCTGCTCTGCTGGTGACTGGAGAACAAACCCTTCCCTTGCCTTCCCTTCCCTTCCCTTCCCTTCCCGGGATGCTGAGGGTCACCTTGCTCTCGTCCGGCTCCGCGGTTCCCAGCTCCCCAGCCTGCACACGCAGCAAGCACAGCAGGACCATCCCCAGGCTCAGCCCCACGGTCTCCATCTCGCCTCAGCTCCTCTGGCTTCCCCCGTGGGATGGGGAGCGGAGCCGGCGCTGTCGGATTTATAGCTCCGCTCTCCGTCCTCCGCCGCCCCCGCTGGAGCGGTGCCGAGCCCACGGGAACGCTCTTGGCCTCGGCTGGGGCAGAGGGGTGGATCCGAAGGGCAGCAGTCAGCCAAGGGTGAGCAAACCCCTGGGGCGGAGCGGGGCTTGTGCCTGCAGCCCCAAAGCGGAGTTACAGGAACCGTTGCTCCACTGCTGAAATTCGGGATTTCCCCCGTTTTTTTAGTTCTTGTGAAAGAACAAAGCGAACGCTTGTTTCCCAACGGGCTGCCGGAAGGCTGCCAGGAGGAGCGGGAGGTTCTTCCCGGCACCGGCCCCGGGGCAGCCCCGTTGTCCGGCTCACCGAGGCCCTCGGTGACCCGTTTTTCTGGCCGGGCTGAAACGTGCCCCAGGGCAGCTGCTGGGATCCTGCCCAAACCCAGCCCTCCGCAGGCACAGCCTGACCTCTGCGAGCCGGCTGCATCCTGAGCAGGGCGGGCAGAAGACGGGGCTCATGTCGCTGCGGGAGTGTGTCCCTCCTTCCCGGAGTGTGATGTCCCCTGTGGCCTGGCTGGGCCAGGCTCCTGGGGTCACCGGCCCAACACCCGCCTGGGCACTGAGGGGCTGCGGGGCAGGGAGGCAGAGGGGGGACCAGGGGCTGCCTTCGCTCTGCAGGAGGTGGAGGCAGATAAAAACTGCCCTTTGGGCTCATGGCAGCATGGCCTTGCTTTGGTGAGATTGGGGGACCAAGGGGGGTGACAGGCATGTGGGTCCCAGTCCTGCCATAGGCAGCCCTGGTGCCACCCCACTCCCATCCGGGTGGCCTGGGAGAGGACTGAGCAGGGAATGGGGTTTCCTGGGGTCTCCCTGCAGGCAGCACTGGGCAGCCTGACTGCTTAACCCTGTCTGCCCAGAGCTACTGACCACCCAGCTAGGCTGTGCAAGCCCCTGTCCACCCTGGCTCCATTCTTCCCTGCCCTGGCAGCTGCTCCCCTGCACCTTCCCCATCCTCTGCTCCCCATCCTCCCCATGCTGGGCATAGCAAACATCATATCCAGGGAGCCCCCTAAAACCTGTGGGGGCCTGACAGGAAGGGTCAGCTGCAGGACTGTTTGGTTCAGGGTGCCTGGGGACCGTGGCAGCACCCTGCTTCTGCCAAAAAAGCACCAAGCTCTGGGGTAGCTTCTGCATCTATTTATTTAGGAGATTGAGGGTGATCCTGGTATGGAGCAGGGGGTCTGGCAGAGCCTGGAGGATGGGAAGGAGCACCATGGAGTGGGGTGCAGAGCCCATCGTCCACTAGGTCTGGAGGACACATGGTCCTTCAGCTGCAGAGGCAGGACAGGCAGATGACTGGTCAGAGCAGGGCAAAGCCAAGGTGACAGAGCCCCGAGGCAGGTGGGGGATCCCCCAGGGCCTGCAAATCCCTGCTCAGCCCAGGCCATGCTGAAAGGGAGTCACAGCTTTCCCTGGCCACACTCACCTGATGTCCCCAGTACATTGATCTGTTGGAAAGCAGAGAGAGGGGAGAGTGTGCAATTGGCAGCAGAGGGGGCTGCAGCTGCCACGCTGTGTCCTTGGGCCACTCACCCGACTTGGGCAGGATGGCCAGCATGTCCTCGGTCAGGCCCGTGGTGGGGATGAGCTCCATGAACTTCTGCAGGAGCTGGCTGCTCACGTCCTGCTCCCTTGCTGCAGCCACACACCCAAAGTGGGGGCTGGTGAGTACAAGGAATCCCAGCAGCCAGCCCCACCTGGGGGTCCAGGTACTGCGGGGCAGCAGCTGGAGCCCAGGGAAGGGCCAAGGTGAAGCAATGAACATGCAGGGTGGACACCAGGCAACCCACAGCTGCCCTGGGCTGGCAGCAAAGGGCCACAAGCCCCTTGGGATCAGCGACCCATTTGTTTGGGGTGGTATGGGGCAGCTGGCAGGCTTGGGATGCTGCAGCTGGGCTTGCACACTTCAGGGGGCTCTGGTTCAACCCTCGCTGGAGATTTCTTTAGTGCAAAGTTTCATTCACCCCAAAATTAATTCCCTAGGTGATGGACATGGGGTGCTGCTGGTGGCGGCCCTGGCTCGTGGTGGGAAGCCCAGCCCCTGCCCGCTGCTGGTGCCCCCATCCCTTCCCAGGAGCCAGGTCCCCACTCCCAACGCACTGAGGAGCTGCAGTGCCGTGCTGGGCTCTGCCTCGCTGAGCTGGACCTCGTGCAGGACAGCGTAGTGGCTGTAGTCTGTCTCCATCACACTCAGATTCCTCTTCTCTTGTGCACCTAAGGACCCCAGAGGTGACCAGCTGGGTAACATGGTACAGTCTGAGCCGTGCTGAGGCCCACAGCTCAGTGCTCAAGCCTCAAATTTGCCTGAGGGGTGTATGAGGAAGGAACCCCTGCTCAGTGTGGAGGAACCAGGTGCCCACCCACCCACAACCTCTTGCTGAGCTGTGGAGGCAAAGGGGCCAAGCCCACCTCCCACTACTCCTGAGGCATGGGGGCTGGGGATGCCCTCTGTTTTGGGGTACCCATGGCTCCAAAGCCCCTCTCCACACATACCCATGTAGTGCCCTGCCTGCCCGCTCTGCTGGAAGAGCAGCTCAAACTTTTGGCATTTGTCCATCCTGGAAAAGGAACATGAAAAAGACAAATGTGTCTGGACACCACATGGGAAGGCAGCAGGGTGAGATGGGCCCAGCCTGCCCAGGGGGATGCACTGAGGCAGAAGTGGGCAACCCAGAGCAGTGGGGGAGTTGCTGTGGAGGGGAAGGGAGTTCCCGGCCCTCAGAAAACACGGTGAGCAGGACAGACACTTACAGGGGCCAGACCAACTTCATGGCCAGGTCCCCTTCTGGTGTGAAGCTGATGATGGCCACGGATGACTTCATCCCATCCTTCATCTTCAGGAAGATGGAGCAGTTGGAAGCAATGGCTGTGACATGCCACACCCCTGCAAACTGCAGCAGGGCGTCACCAGTGGAATTTGGAAAATCTGTGGGGACCTGCGCTCCTCCATAGGGGACTGGAAGCCCACTGCAGAAATTTGCCAACCTGCAGTGGACCTGCCACTGTCTGTGGGGACTGTCACCCTCTTCAGAGACCTGCCACCATCTGTGGGGATCTGCCCTCCACCGTGGGGAACATGACAGCCCACTGCAGAAACCTGCCAGCCAATGGTGGCACATCTGCCACCCTCTGTGGGTACAGAGCCACCTGGGGGCAAACATGGGGACCTGCCACCTTCCTGCATGCAGAACACCCTGTCCTACCCCATGCTAAGAGTACAGGTGCAGCACCTGGCCCATGTTCCCTGGGAAAGTGCCACACACTTGCAGACATCATGGCCCCACGTGCTGGTGTCCTTGCAGTGGGGCTATTGTTGGCACTGGATACAGCAGCCAGGACTAACCTGGTTTTGCAGAGGCTCTCCTGGAAGCTGCCCTGGAGCTGGCTCAGTGATGGGGCTGGCAGGTGCCCAGGGGTGCAGCACAGGCCCCCTGCCCCAGCCAACCCCTCCAGCCCAGGCAGGATGTGCCAGGTAGCACCCACTTACCTTCTTGGTGTCCAAGTCTGGCTGCACAGGGAGCTGGGCTCCTGCCTGCAGCCCGCAGAGCAGGGCCAGAGCCAGGCTGGGCAGTGCTGCTGTCATCCTTATCCTGGAATGGATGTGGGCAGGAGAGGCTGCACCCACTTTATAGCCCCCACTGCTGGCAGCACTCCTGCCCACGCCAGCTTTATGCAACAGGTTACACAAGAGCAGGGATAACCTGGCTTAGGTGACAGTGCTGGCCCTGTCCCCCCAGTTCCAGATGAATGCAGCCTTGTGTGAGACCCAGCCCAGAGCACGCCCTGTGTATAGGGAGGAGTGTGACATGCATCCCAGGGTCCCGCTCCTGGCTGTTCCCATTGGTTCTAGGGTCTGTCAGTGGTGGGATGGATCCTGCCTCTGGATCCTCAGTGCCAGAGAAGGGTTGTGTTGGTGTTCTACCCCAGGCTAAGCCACAGCCTGGTGCCCTCAGAAGTGGTGGTGGCTTCTTAGCCTGGTGGCAGCAGGCTCAGACGCCAGTGCTGGAGAGGGTCTGGGTTCATGGGATGGAGCCCAGGAAGTGGCCAGGATCAAGCCACACCCAGAGCTTACAGACATCCTTCTTCTTCATGTCCATCCTTCCCCAAACTTCTGGAGACCTCCTAATTGCCCATTGCCCCATTCCCATGCTGCCAGCCTGCTCTCCAGCAGGAAAACCAAGGCAGGGAGGTTAGGGGAGCCCAGGGTACCCAGGGGGCAGAGGGGGAGCAGATGCCCCAGTGGGTCCTAGACTCAGGGACCCCTTTTTGTGGGACAGGGCAGGTTCAGTGGCCAGGCAGCACCACGGGACAGGGCTGTGAGTGCACATGGGGTCTCAGCCCAGCAGCTCCATAGCCAGGAGCTGGGGTCAGCCCTGACCACTAACCCCAGTCCCAACCCTATTGGCCATGCTTTCCCCTGCCCACTGCCTTCTTTGGGCCTGCCCCACACAATCCAGCAGGCAAGGGCTGTTTTTTTACGGGCTTTAATCGAGACAGGGATACAGGTGTGGGTTGTGAAGCCAGGGAGCGAAGGCTGCTGCAGTGTGGGGGGCCAGATGGGCAGGGTGGTCACCAGCTCGCAGTGCTGTTGGGGCTCGGGCTGGCAGCAGCTGGTGGGTCTGCCTGGAAAAGATGGGGGGTGAGCATGGTTGAGCTGTGGGAGACCAGGTAACACACAGGGCGGACATGGGCCTGGCTAGCCTCACACCGAGTGGGTAGGCACCTTACTGGTGTCTGGCTAGCCTCACACTGAGTGGGTAGGCACCTTACAGTGTGGGTGGGGGATCCCCAGGCAATATGAGGAGAGCAGCAGCCCAGGGAAGGGTTGTGGAGGGGTTGGGGGCTCTGTGAGGTGATGTGGCTTTAAGCATCCCCATACCATCTGGCAGGGCTGGTCTGAGCTCCAGTGAAGGCAGGACTCACCTAAGCAGCATCTGCCATGCATTTGTCTGCAGGAGGAAGAAACAGGGAGATCAGCTCCTCTGGGGGTTGTGGGAACTCAGCCCCCCTGATGGGGACACCCCATGGCTGGCCTCATAGAGAAGCAGGGACAAGCCAGGAGGGTCTCCTTCTCAGTCTCCCTGTGGTATCTCACCCCCTAGTCCCCGACACCATCCCTGCACTCTCAGTCTCACCCGTCTGCGGCAGGATGAGGATCTCGTCGTCTGTCAGGCCCTGCTCCCTGGAGAACTGGGTGAACATCTCCAGGCGTTCAGGACTCAGCGCCTTTGTCCGGCCTGCAGCCAAGAGCAGGGTGAGAGGCAGTGCCCCCATACCCACCAGCACAGGGGCACAGGCAGCCCTGCCAGGGGGTCCTGACCCAGCCATCATCCCCCCAAGGTCACCCCAGCTTGGGAAATGACCCTAACCCTGCCCTTCTCTCATGGAAAAGACAGACACCCGGGGGGCATGGACAGCACGGGGTCCCAGGGCAGACGTACTGTAGAGCAGCACCATGGTGGAGGAACCAGTGCTCTTGGAGATCTGGGTAGCCACCAAGGCGTACTCTTCGTAGTTGGTCTCCACCACATGGATGTTGTGCTTGCTGCCCCAGCCTGTGGGGAACATGGGGCACAGCTCAGCCCTGAGCTCCAAATCAGCCACAAGGCAGGAGCAGGGACAGCAGGGCTATGAGCACGTCCGGGGCTGCCCCACGGAAGCTGGGCACTCACGTGGGCTGGTGTAGATGAACCGCCCTGGCTGCTCTGTCTTGGTGTAAAGACTGTTCCTCGTCACGCACTGGTCACCCCTGGGAAGCAGAGCAGCAGAGGATGCACCAGTGGCCACTCCCAGTACCCCCTCCCCACTCACCCTCTCCCCATGCCCCTACTTGGGGTACGTGGAGGTAACTTCCAGGTTCCCCTCTGCAGTGGTGGAGATGATGGTGGTGCACATCTTCATCAGGTGCCGCTTCTCCTTGAACCAGTTAGAGTTGGAGGCCAGGCCAATGCTGTACCATCTCCCTGTGAGCTGCACACAACCTCCACTCAGCCCCAGCTGGGCACAGACCCTGTCTCACCCCTCAGCCCCCACCGACCCCTCTGGCAGCTCATTCCCTACAGCAGGACAGCGTCCCAGGGTCCTCATTTCACAGGGAGCTGCTACAGCTCTTGGCAACCACAAAACCCCAGAACAAGGAAATCCCTGTTTAATGACATGTCCTTCACTGCCCTTGGGTGTTCCCTTCCTCTTCACCCCAAGCCCAGGGAGTGTGACAGGACTGCCTGGCTCTGAGATACCATTTCCATCCATCTGGGGTTGTGAGGATGGGTCAGGACACTGGGTCCAGCATGGCTCATTCCAGTCTGGTGTATGGAGCCAGCAGTGTGATGCCCCTGAGGGGAGCTGCCCGCCTTGGAGAGCAGCTGTGCTGGGATCACCCTTGCAGCACATCCCAAACCACTGCCCTTGCAGGAAGTGCCTCCTGCCATCCCCATCACCTCCCTGGGGTGGCTATGTCCCCCAGGACCTTTCCAGGGGAGAAGGGATGTAGGGGATGTAGTACAGCAGCCCTTGTTTTTTTGTGGCCCTGGGCTGGGGTCTTTGTTGGGGAGGGTTTCCCATGGCCCCATCTCTGTGCTGTCAGACTGAGATTGCATTTCTCACTCTCCCCTGCAAGATCCCTGTGCATCCACACCCACTCCACAGCACAGCAGCAGCTCGGACCCATGCCTGACCCAGGGTTCTGGCCCTCAGCCTGGAGCCTTGGTGCTGGATCCCTTCCAGAGCCACCAAACCCAGGTGCTGGGAGGTCCCCAGGATGGGAGGCTGCATGTGCACCAGTGCAAGCCTGGCCCTCACCCACCTGCACCACCCCCTCCCCACATTTTCAGGGCAAGAATCCCCCAAAACACCCCAAACCTCCACAGAGGTGATACCGGTTGGCCTGGGTCACCTTGTCCTGCTGGAAGTCAGCCTGGACAGGAATGCTGTCCTGGGCATGCAGTGTCCCGAGCAGGGCCAGTCCCAGGATGCCGAGCAGTGTGGTCTGCATGGCAAAAGCGAGCCGAGCCGAGCTGAGAGCTGGAGGCAGAGCGCTGCAGTGCTGGAGAGTTTGTCGAGCCCCTATTTATGGTCAGGCGTTGCGGGGCCCCCGGGGAGCCAGCCCTGCCTCCCCCCGTGCCGTTATGCAAGCTGGAGCAGGACAGAGCACTGAAGCCAAAGGGCAAGCAGGGGATCCTGTGAATGCTTCCCTCCTGTTGATATGACATATTTGCTCCAGGGTGCCAAACTCCTCTGCAGTGAAAACAGCCAGCGGCCAGCACAGTGGCCGCCCTGCCCCCAGCTGCCGGGCTAGGACGGGGAGCAGCCCACGGAGAGGGGCCAGCGCTGCCCCATCCACACAGGGTGGCCTCACTCGGACCCGGAGTGGGACTTCGGTGAGATGGAGGAAATGTCCAGTGCCTGCCAGGTCCCAACCCAACCCACAGGACTCGACACCTGCATGTGCTCCTGCAGGATGCCCTTGCTTTGCCTTGACTCAAGTACCTGCATCACCCAAGGAAGTATCTCTGCTGGCCTTAGCACCCTTGGGGTGCGTCCCACTGGAGAGCTGGGGAGCCCCATGTTCAGCTCCCTGGGGACCAGCATGCAGCCAGATGCACCCTAGAACTTGACACCCCACTTGCTCCACCACCCTGCACCCTTTGACAAGAGGGGCTGGAGATACCCTCCCCCTTAGTTTGGGGTCACCAGTGGGTAACTTAGGAGCCTCCCTCAATCTGGGGGCGCCCCTGCAGGGTGAGGGCAGGGGATGTGTGCTGGGTGCCAGCAGCAACGCCCATGGGTCTGGCAGGGTTTGGGCAGGGCTGGCCATGCTGGGCAGAGCCGCAGCCCCGCGGCGCAGCCCTGCCAAGGTGCTTTACGTAAGGAGCATGTTTTCAGAACAGCTGGTTTTCCCCTGGCAGCCCCCCCTGCACATTCCCTTCCCCGCGCCCCACTGCGAGGCCGCCCTGCCCTGCACACCCCGCGCCTGCCCGGCCCCGCGGATTTATGAAAACAAAACAAAAGCTGAGCAGGCAGGACTGGACATCACGAGAGCCTGGCTGGGGCCTCGTATGCTGGGCTGGGGCTCAGTCTCCCCCGGAGCTCACCCTCAGGGTGCTGGGGGGAACTCTCTCCGTTGGGCACAGAGGCAGGGAACACCTGGGGTGTCACTGGCACTGGCACTGCGACAGGAATACAAAGTCCCCCCTGCTGCCAGGTACCCCCAGCTCCCTGCCCAGGTGCCAGGAGGGGGTGCCCGATGGATATCCGGGTGGTGCTCAGCTGTCCTGGGGGTTGCAAAGCTGGGAGCCAGCCCAAGGACCTGGGTGGCAAAGCTGGAGCACTTGGGGGCACAGGGGAACACCAACGGTGGTAAGGGGCAGCAAGAGCAGGGCTGGGGGCAGGACGGACTGTCTGGGCTGTGGACACAGACCCTTGGGCACAACCTGGGTGTTTGCACCCAGAAATGGTTTAGCCCCAACGACGGATGGGCTGAGCTGATATGAAGGGTATGGAGAATCCTTGGGGACCGGCCGAGCTCCCCGGGGCTCTCCCCTTACTCCCTTATTCCCCTGTCCGGTGCAAGCACTTCGGGGAGCAGGTAAAATGAGCTGGACCCAGCACAGCGCAGCTCTGTCAGGCTCGGGGGGCGGCCGGGCTGGACTCGGCTGTCCCGCACCTGGGGGGTGGGAACAGGGGCTGGCTGCGGGCACATCACGTGGCTTCCCTTACATAATTCCCAGAAAAACAACATGTGTTACCAGTTCCCGCTAGGATTGCAAAACGCTGGGGCTGGGTAAAGAGGGCTGCTCCCCCCGCCGGGGCTGCGGGAGGGGGGGACGGGGCCCCGCACCTGCCTGCTGCCAGGCTGCTCCCTGTCCCCTCCCGAAGCCAGAGCCATGGGCACTGCTGGCCTGCAGGTGTGGCAGGACGGCCTTGGCCAGGTTCCACACACAGGGAGAAGGGGTCGGATGAGGGGTGCAGCATTAACCCTGCAGCCCCCGCAGCCCCCTGCCTGTCTCTGTGAAAGGTGCTGGCTGTGCAGGCAGGAGTCCAGCACAGGCAGCAGCCCCTCGGGGAATGAACTCTGCAGGGCTGGGGCAGGGGAACAGGGTGTTTCCCAGCCTTGGAGATGGGAAGCAGGATTGTGGGACTAAGATTTCCTCCCCGGGGTCCCTGAGTGATCTCCCAGCTTGTTGGGGGAAAAGGTAGATGCTGTGCTCTCTCTCGGAGCCCCATGCTCCCTGTGGCCCCAGCCACAGTGGTGTTCCCCTGTGCCCTCCCTTGCCCCTGCCAGCTGGACCAGGAACCACCACTGCTGTCCCATGGCTGAGGAAGGCTCACAGAGATGGCAGGGGTCTGCATGGAAGGGGGCTGCCCAGCCCCCCAACACCCCTGTGGCACCCCCCAGCCAGGAGCAAATGTCCAAGGCACTGGCAGCCCATGGAGGCAGTGCTGGCCTGTCTGGGGCTCACCAAGAGGTGACTGGACTGTACACAGGCTCTTCTCTGAGGCTTTTATTGGGGTGTTGCTCGCTCCTGCAGGAGAGTGGGGCACAGAGCAGAGGGGGGACACAAGCTGGGGGGCACAGGACAGCGACAGACACAGATGCCAGCACAGCTGGAGGGGCTGAGGCACTCAGGTCCGTGTGGCCATGGGCAGCTGGCTGAGGCGAGGGCTGAGCTCCGCGACCCCCTGGCAACTCCATCTGCACCTACAGCTTTGTTTCTGGAAGGAAGACAAGTGCTGAGGGGCTGGGGGTGGGGGGGGGGTGTCCAAGCCCAGCACCAGGGCTGGAGACCTACCTCTGCCTTCACAAGCACCAATAACAAGTGATGGAGCTGTCCCCAGGGACCTCAGCCTTCACCCCAGGATGTCCCTGTGCCAGGACATCTCATCCTAGATCAGCCCTCACCCCAGGAAACACCAATATAGATCCATCAAGCCCAGTCTGACCCATGTGGGGGGTGAGTGGGGTTTGCTTTGCCACAATGTACCTGATGCCCATCCTGAGTGATGGCTTGCCACACAAGGGCACAGGCTCTGTTCCGGGAATGGTCTGGCAAGGCCTTTCCCGTGCCAGCCCAGCCCTCCCACATCCCTGGGGCAGGACCACACAGCCACGGTGCAGCATGGATCTGGCCCAGTGTGCCCAGCCCAGTGCCAGGACAGGGACACCCAACTGGTGCCCAGTGTGGGACCAAGCCTGGCACATAGGGGCACCCAGCACATCACCCAGCATCCCCAACTCACCATCAAGGACGTGAAACTCATCTGCAGAGTCACAAAATCCTGCAAGAGACAGAGCCCAGGGGGATCACCTTGTCTGGGACCTGGCACCCTTCAGCCCCTGCACCCCCAGGACATTGCAGGGCACAGCCCCATCCTTGCATCTTTGTCCCTGGGGTGGCCAGAGCATTGGGACAGAACCCACATGGGTCTCCCTGAGGACCGTGTGCCACCCACCATAGGTGGGGAAGTAGTAGGTGACATCCTCACTCAGACCCACAGCCCTGACGCGCTGCTCGAACTTGTCCATGATGGCGTCACTGACCGGGCTGCTCCGTCCTGCATGTGGGGAGACACCATCAGTGACCTCAGGCCCTACCTGGCCCTGGCCCAAAGCCCCCCACGTCCCTACAAGAGGTCAGGGCCCAGGGGACTTTCAGCTCAGAGAAGTGGGCTCCCAGTTCCGCCCTCACCCGCTCCCCACAGCATCTGGGAACAGTTCTCCAGCTAGGAGTGACCCCCATTCCAATGTTGAGTCCTCCAAGGCTTCTCTCCAGAGTCCAGCACAGGTTTCCCACCCCTGTGCTTCACCTGCCATGAAATCCCGAGCCCCAGCCTACCATAGAGCTTAACAGAGATGCTGCGGCCCTTCTGGTAATAGAGGATGATGAAGCTGCTGGGATCAGCCTCACCCACCACCACATCCACTTTGCTGCTTTTCCTATGGCCTGGGAAGGACGAGAGGATAGCCCAGTTAGTTCCAGTTAATCCTGGTTAGCCCCAGCATCATCCAGGGGCTTCATTTCCCCACAAGTCGAGTGTACAGGGGGTGAAAATCAGAGCCAGAGTGGGACAACCCCACAGGCACCAGCCCATGGTGTCATCTGTGATGGCATCTGGCACTTAGGGACCCAAGACATAAAACACTGGAGTGCACTGGAAAGAGGGACATTGGTACCAAAACCCTGCTGAGAGCAGGGCTGGGGACTCCAGCAGCCTCCTGCCACCTCGGATCAGTCTCCCTCACCCTTCAGCAGGAAGTGTCCAGGGGCCTGGCCGGGAAGGTAGTGCTGCCTGATTTCCCAGCACATCCTGTCCCTGCATGGGAAGAGGAGGAGGAGGAGATGTCAGTACAGGCTGTGAAGGATCTTCCCAGATCCCTGGCCGCCCTGCCTGCCAAGGCACACATGCTGTTTGTTTCCCTGGGACTGTTTTCTCCCCAGGGAAAGACGTCCCAGAACATGAGGGAGACATTGTGAGAGATGCTGAGCCCAAAATCTGCTGAGCCCAAGGAATCCCTGCCACCTCCCTGCAATGCTGAGCCTGGTCAGGACCTGAAGGCCCATCGGGCTGGGGCAAATGCTCACAGATGTGCTGAAAGTCCCCATCTTCAGACATGCTGCCCCAAGGATAGCCCTAAGAGCCAGTCCTCGGCTGGGCAGCCTTGGAGCCACCATGTTTCAGTTTTGCCAGCCTGGCTGTCCTCACACTGACCAGCCTGGGCACCTCCAGCTCAGCCTGGGCACCCCCAGCTCAGCCTGGGCTAATGGACGTGCGGGTGGCAGGGTGTCCATCATGACCAGGGCGCCCATCGTGGCCAGGGCTTTGACTACAAAGGAGGGTATCCCACCCACACTTGGCTCTGGGGCAGCTCTGTTCTCTTTGGGGCCTGTGGTCAGAACACTGGCACTGCTTTCAGAGTCCCCATCCCAGAGCACTGGTCCTGTTCCAACCTGCCTGCAGCATCCCTGTCCCTGCCCGCAGTCCCTGTGCCCAGCATCACTCACAGCTTCCTGAAGGTGCTGATGGCCAGGCTCTGCCCATCCAGGATGGTCATTGTCACTGTCGTGGCCTCCAGCTGGTGGCTGTGCTCTGCCAGGTAGCTGCATTGGGAGGCCATGCCAACCAGGAACCACTTCCCTGAGAGCTGCATGGCACAGGGGTGGCACCATCTACAGGGCCACCAGCCTGGGCTGCCACCAGTCAACCACCCTGAGCACCCTCCCCCTCATCTGGCAGCTGTGCCCACAGGCTGTTCCTTAGGAACTGTTCCTGTTCCAGCCTTGCCCACAGGTGCCCTTCAGGTGCCGGGTGGTGGGATGGCAGGGCGGGATGAGCCTGACATGGGGACACGCTGGGGGTGTGTAGGGGATGTCCAAGGCACCTGCCCATGGCTCACACTGCCCCCAGCACTGCGGGCACCCCACAGTGGGTGTGTGCTGGGCATCACATTACGCTGCAGCCCCAGCCCACCCCGCCAGCAGAGCCCCGAGCTCAGCCCAAGCCCCAGAGTGAGGGCAGCCACCTCGGCCCTTCGGCAGCTCCAGATGGGTGAGGACGGGGATCCCTGTGAGGTCCGGCCCCAGCGCCTGCTCTGCGGGCAGCTCTGCAGGCAGTGCCGGGGCTGAGCTGGGCTCTGGCAGCCCCGGCTGTGCGTGGGGGGCACTGAGGGGCTCGGGCCTGGGGGATGGGCTCGGAGGCTGAGGAGGACAGTGGGGGTCACTCCTGGAGGGGGACGGGACGGGCTGCAAGGGTGGGCCTGGGGAGGAAGAGCACAGGGGATCAGCGCTGGACGGGGATGCCGGACGCGGATACAGGAGGATGGGCTGCAAAGCCGGGTCTGGGGGGACACCAGGGGTCAGCCCCGCAGGGGCACACGGAACAGGAGCCACCGCGGCTCTCTGCAGCCCACCCAAGTGCGGGGTCAGCGGATGCGCGCAGAGCCCTCAGCCCAGCCCCTCACCTGGTGAAGGCTGAGCCCCTCTTCAGCCTTCACTTTTTCGAGCGCAGTCTGGGGAGGAGGCGGCCGCCGTCTCTGCGCCGCCCTCTGCCCCCGCGCCGTAAGGAGCAGCCCGAGGAGCAGGAGGGTGCGCAGGGCCGCCATGTGCCCGTGTGCGAGGCCGGCGCTGCCGGGAAGCAGCGGGGCCAGGCGGGCACGGCAGGGAGCCAGGAGCCCTGGTGGCGGCTGGACGGGGTCATGGCCGGGGTCAGCGGGGCCGGGCTGGAGCCCAGAGAGCGGGGCTGGAGCCCAGAGAGCGGGGCCGGGCTGGAGCCCAGAGAGCGGGCCCGGACAGCGCCGGCGGCTGAGGAGGGGCCGGGCCGGGCCGGGGGACTCCCGGGGTGGGCGGGGCCTGTTTGGAACGGGGCGTGGTTTAACGGGGACAGGCGTGTCATATGGGGGCGTGGTCCGTGGGGGCGTGGTCTGACCGGGCTGGGCGGGGCAGCACCGCCCCTGCAGGGGCACTCGTGAGCGATCGCGCTGCGCTCGGCTCGCTGTGCCTGGCACGCTGCGGGGAGCTCTGTGCTCGAGCCGTCGGGGCTGCGGCTGGACGCGCTCCGTGATTGGCTGGCGGGGGAGCGCCGGGAGCGCCGGCCGGAAGTGGCGCGGCGGGGCGGGGGCAGCGGAGCCGCCGAGGTGCGGGGGGACAGCGGGGACACCGGGCACGGCACGTAACGGGGGGGGGACACCGGGGAAACCGGGCACAGCGAGGGGGGAACACCGGCCACGGGCGCCGCCAGGGCACCGGGCACGGCACGAAGGGAGCCGCGGGCCCGCGGCGGGTGCGGGTCCCCGTTCCGGGCCTGACAGCGGCACCCCGCTCGGTTGCAGGCGCGGCGGCAGAATGACACGATGGACGCGGGCTGCCCCCGGCTCCCAGACACCGTCCTGTTCGAGATCTTTCTGTACCTGGACCACGCCGACGTGCTCTCAGTGGGGCTGGTCTGCCAGCAGTGGCGCGCCGTGGCCCGCGACGAATTCCTGTGGAAGGAGCTTTTCTACCGCTACTACCGCGTGTCCCGGGATGTGCCGCGGCACCCAGGTGCGCTCCGGGGCGCGGGGCTCAGCCCGGGACCGAGAGTGCGCTCCCCCGCTCCGCCCTCTGCCCGCCGCTGTCGGGTGCCGGAACCCCTGAGCCGCGCTGCCTCGGCTGTGTCACGGTGCCGCGGGCTGAGATGTGCACGGGAACGGCTCTGGGTCTGACATGGCGGTCAGAGGGCTGAAAATGCTTTGCCTTTCCCTTCTTTCCGCAGAAAGAAAGTTTCCTGAGCTCTCTAGGCAGGTGCTCTCTGTAGCTGCGGTCCAAGGAGATCCCGGGAGTTGCACTGAGTCACCACATGCTGCTGCATCCCAGCCTTCATGGAAGGGATCTGTGGAATCGCTGCTGGCTTGGCCCCTCTGCTGCAGCTCTGTCCTTCCCCGGCTGGAGCAGAGCCACAAGCACTGTTGGCTGCTTCGAGGGTCCCAGGGCTGGGCTGTGCAGGGACACCGGCGTCTGTCTGAGGGATGTGTGGCCCTGTGACAGCGCTGGGGACAGTGCAGAGTCAGCAGCTGCCCCACAGCACCAGGGCAGGTTGGACTTGATCTGGGCTCACAGCAGGAGCTGACAGAGCCTGGCAGGGCTGTCCCTGGCCGAGCTGTGAGAAGGTTTGGGGGTGGCAGTCGTGTGATCACAGCTCTGCTCCCTGCTGAGCAGCCAGTGCTGGAAGCCGTTTGGTGCAGCCTGGGAGGATGGGCCAGCTCTGTCACACCAGCTGGGACCTGGCAGCAGGAGCCCTTGCTGCCTAGGGGGCTTTCTCTCCAAGCAGCTCATTCCCAGTGGGTGGTGGGGCATGGGAGGACTGTGCAGGGGGCCCCCAGCTGTGGCTGAGGAATTGGATCCTGGGTTGTGAGCAGCAGTGGCTACAGAAGGGCAGAAAGAAATGCCAAGGATCAGGCACTGGGAGCTGATCTCCTTGCAGCAGGAACACCACTGCAGAAGGGCTCTCGGGGGAGGTGGATGTCAATGGGACTCCTGCAGGCTGTGTGACTTTGCTCTTGCAGACCCTGGGAGCTCCATGGGGCTGAGGATGTTCTCTTTAGGGTTTTTCTGAAGCCTTTTGACCAAGCTTGTTCCCTCCCAGCCTCCTGGAGCAGCTTAGTCAGCTGCCAGCCCTGTTCTTGAGCACTAATTAGGATCAAGCAGTTGGTGTAGCTCAGCCTGGTGTATTCAGGCACCTCCCTGGCTGCTGGAGCTGTGGGCACCCTGCACATGGCAGCAGGACAGGGACAGCTGGCAGGCGTGGGCAGGGGCTGGAGCAGGAGTGTGGGGCAGCTCTGCCAGCCTGGCTGCCCTGGGCAGCCACTTGGTTACAGGAATGATGTCCAGTGGGTCTGTAAGGTGAAATGTTGGGTTTCCTTGGCCAAATGGGGCCTGCCCAGGCTTTTCCCAGCTGGATGGGCTACGACCAGGTGGTTTGGAGGGGGTTGAAGCCTTGAGCAGCAGTGGGATGTGCTGGCAGCAAGCTGGTCCCTGCCTGCAGGAGCAGATGCCTCCTGGGCTGCAGCGTATTCCAAAAAATCCTTCAGTCCTGTTCAGTGTCACTGGGAAAGTTGGCCCTTATCCATATACATGTCTAATCCTCTTTGCTTCTCTGGGATTTGCTGCTACAAGAAGTCTGTAGGCTGCCTGGCCAGGCCCTTCATTAAAAATTTTCTTTATTTGTTTTTTATTGTCCATCAGTAAGACTCCCCTCAGTGTGCCCCAGGCTGTGCTCAGCACACTATGCCCAGCCTCTCTTCTTCTCTTTCATTTTTTCAAGTCTCTTGTCTCATGGAGATGTTTTTTTTCCTGGTCCCAGACCCTTTCTAGAGCCATCTTAATTCTGTGTCAGACAAGACAGAGGTAATCAGTGCAGAGCTGGCTATGGTGAGGGGCAGCTTCCCAGCTTCCCTCTTGCCCCACCTGGTTGATTTGGTTGTGCTGGTGCACGTTTTCCTTCTCAGGACTGTTTTGTCCTGAGCAAGGTTTTGCTCTGACAGCCAGCACCTCTTCCCGGGCTGCTCCAGCAGGGGCTGTGCTGGTTTGGAAAGCAGAAGTGTGTGGAGCTGTCTGTGTACTGGAGAAAGGGGTTTTGTATGTGGGAGTAGGGGAGCTGCTGAGGGAAATGCTGAGGGCTGATAGCTGAGCTGCAGCCCTGGGCTGGTGCCCCAGCAGAGCTCCTAGCCGTGCTCAGGAGCCAGGATTGCTTTATTGGATTGGTTTATTGAAGCCTGGTGCCATGTTTAGCCCAGCTCTGCTTCCCTCCACTCACACTTGTGTCCCGTGCCCCGCTCTGTGCTGCAGGTGCTGTCTCGTGGTACGATGAGTTCCAGAGGCTCTACGACACCATCCCTTGTGTGGAGGTGCAGGCCCTGAAGGAGCATAATGACCAGGTTTTGCACCTGAGCTTCTCCCACTCTGGCTGCCTGTTTGCATCATGCTCCAAAGACTGCACGGTCAAGGTAAAGTGGTAGGTGCCCTGTCCAGCTCTTGCAGCCTCGGTCCAGTGGGGCTTAGCCCTGAGCAGCCTTTGGGAAGTCTGGAGGGGTTTGACCAGATGTCCCTGGATTTGGGCTGGTTCCTGTGGGTGCTGAGCTGTCTTCTAAGCCATAGAACTAATGACCCTTGCAAATGTAGCCTTGAGGCTGTGTGTTCTAGCTCCAGCCCGAGCGTGTGTGGAGGTGGCCGAGGTGCTTTGCTTTCTAGGTGCAGATCAGTGTCCTGTTGTGCCCTGGGTCTGATGGAGACTGGAGAGATAGTCATCCACTGCAGTGGATCATGTCTTCCCTGAGTGGTTGTCATGGGAGGAATCTGTCTGAACATGCTGGAAACCCAGCTGTGGTAGCACCATTCACTGCCTGAACACCTTCTCTGGCCAATGGAGCAGCAGTTCTCCATTGGCCCCTCTCCATTTTCTGTCAGGGGAATGGACAGGGGTGTGATGAGTGGGAGGCAGTTAAATGGGGTTTTTGTTTTTCATGTCCCGTTGAGTACTGGCAGAACAGATAAAGCAGAACCACTCTCAGCCTTCTCAGCAGCTTCCTGACTCTCCGTCTCTCTGTAGATCTGGAGCAATGAGCTGGACATCTCCCTGCAGCACAGCTCCAACATGAGGCCATACAACTGGAGCTACACCCAGTTCTCCCAGTTCAACTCTGATGACTCCCTCCTGCTGGTATCCGGTGTCTTTGTGGGGCCTCACAACTCCTCCTCCGGGGAGATTGCTGTGATCAGCATGGGTAAGTGGGGCTTCCCTGGGGCTCCCTGCGGCTGGGTCAGGGGGTTCCCTTCTTCTTTGGGTGTGCAGTAGCCTTGTCTCAGCTCATCCTGACTCCTGAGCTGAGGGGTTCCAATCACGGTTCTGGAGGGAAACCTCAAAGACAACCTTAACTCTGTTCAGGTTACTACAGCAGCACCTCAAGGCAGTGTTTCGTGTGTTTACCCTCACTTCTCTTCTAAGTGTCAGTCTGGGCAAGGGTTATCCACAGCACGTATCTTGAAGCCTCTGCCTCTGGCATATGTGGTGTTAGGCATAGAGCTACAAAAATCTGGAATGGTTTGGGTTGGGAGAGACCTTAAAGTTCAGCTTATTCCAACCCCCTGCCGTGGCAGGGACACCTTCCACTGTCCCAGGCTGCTCCAAGCCTCATCCAGCCTGGCCTTAGACACTTCCAGGGATCCAGGGGCAGCCACAGCTGCTCTGGGAACCCTGTGCCAGGGCCTGCCCACCCTCCCAGGGAACAATTCCTAATTCCCAATATCCCATCCATCCCTGCCCTCTGGCAGTGGGAGCCATTCCCTGTGTCCTGTCTCTCCATGCCTTGTCCCCAGTCCCACTCCAGCTCTCCTGGAGCCCCTTTAGGCACTGGAAGGGGCTCTAAGGTCTTTCCAGAGCCTTCTCTTCTTCAGGCTGGACACATCCAGCTCTCTCAGCCCATCTCCAGAGGAAAGTGGCTGCATCTAGCTCTCAGGTCACCTTTGTGGCCCTAGTCTCACCCTTAGGTCTCACAGGGCTTTCTTAGGTGTTGTCACCTAAGCTTCTTTCACTTCTGCTGCAGCTCTGTGTGTGAGGCTTATCCCTGCTGTTATCTCACCATCTTTGTGCAGAGTCCCACAGTACCAGCAATCAGGAGTGCAGCAGGAAGCAGGAGTGCACAGCTGTCTTGGCTGGAGAGGCCCCAAGCCGCAGGGGTGGGAGGGAAATTCTGTATGTGTTTAACTCGTTCTTGTCCCCAGGACCTGCTCTGGGCCCCGCTCAGGGAAAGGGTGGGAGGTTGAATTGCTTTGGCTCTGTGCACTGGCCTGTTATTTT